TCTTTATTATCTCCAAGGCACTTAAAAAAGTGCAGCTTGTGCACTGGCTGAGAATCAAACCTTGGCCTCCTGCATGACAGGCGATAATTTGACCATTGAACTGCCAATGCAATTTCTTCCTTCATGTATTTAATGTCAAGAGACAAATCAAAAACTACAAATGCTGCTTATTGATGGTAGGGAGTTTCATTTTATATAAGCGCAAAGAAACATGTAATGTTTTTAGTTACAGGATGGGGTGTAAGACAATGGATGTGTCTCTAAATCTAGACACATTGGGAAATGCATCACCATAGTCAAAATTCCCACTTCCTAGTGTTTCATACCATGGGATGTTTACTTAATCTTTCAGGGTATGAGAAACTGGCAAAACAATTTTCTGGTTTACCTTAGTTAATTAACCTCTGCATAAATGATTAAGTGTCAATCAGCAGTCCTGAAAGACACCATATAAAATTAGATTAAGATATAAAAAGGGAAGTGAGATAGAGAAAGCAAAGAGGGGAAAAGAAAGAAGGTCAGACCACAAGAGGCAGAGGAGAAGAAGAGAACATGAAGCTTGTACCAGTTGAGAGCTCCTACTTCATGATCAATACCCGATAATATTTGGAATTTTCTAGAGAAAGTTTACTATTCTTTGTTTTCTTGAGTCAAGAATACTTATGTAAAAGGCAGCCTTTCCTGCTTTGGTTGAATTTTTACAATAGGCTGCCATTTATTTTTTGGTTTCTGGGTTTTCAGAAAGAGAGATTTAACTGCAGGTTGTATTGAATTGATTAATATTTAATATTAAATCTAATTTATTATTATTGTCATTGTTCATACATGTTGTTTAACCAAATGTGCCTGGGTTATTATTCTTTTCAACAAAGCTGTGCCAGAGAAAAAAGAATTCATGTGCTTCTAATTATACCAACCACTCAGGTATATTCTGGAGAAATCACTTACAAGTTAGGGGTTTAGAATATTTATTTTATGATTGACTAATCTGCTCAGTCAATTCCTGTTTTTTCTCTGTTTTTGCAATGCTCCATATATATATATAAACATTATATAAACTACAAATAATTTAAATGACCTATGTTATAACTGATTGTAGAAGAACTGAAACAAAAAGGTCCAAAATACATAAAAAATAAACTAGATTAATAAAATTACTGAACAAAAACTTTCACAAAAGTGAAAACATATAAACATATAAAAAACAGCATATTGTTTATTAAAGAAATGTGTAAATATTGTTCTCCATGGCTGAAATGTTGTGTTTTCTTTCTTCTTTTTTCAGCATGGAATAAACCTATTACTTATTCTTAAGCTGGTATATTTTTATACAATTCTGTTTTGCATTTCTGCACCATTTACTTAAAAACAATAACAAAACCTCTAAGGAAATGAAACCAACACATTGTTCACTATATCATCGTGATTCTACTTAATTCCCCTTGCAGAGTCAGCAGTGTACAAAGAGAAGCAGGAGACTGTATCTGCATCTCTCTAACCTGCTGTCAATTGACATAACGTAACAATGGGCTGATTTGCATGATAAATACACATCTCATGCACCTTAACAGCTTTTAACTGCTGGCAATGTTTTGGAGCAGGGACAAAATCATGGATGTTCTTTTGACCCATTTATATTTGAAGTGTTTTATCTAAAGAGGAACATCTATTAAATATGAAATCACAAAAAAACGCTGGTACTACATCTTTCTCACAAAAGTAGCATTTAACAAGAACTTTTTAATCAATTTGAGCAAATTAAATAATATTCCTCTTTTTGGGTAATACAAACTAAACAAAATGTAATTAAAATACAATTTTAATTATTGTATTAATACATTAATTATTGACATATTTGGCAAGAGTATAACACAGTTGACATGACAATTATATAGTTGACAACAGTAATTATTTCAAATTAATTCAAATTAATATCATTGGGTTCTAAAATGTGCAAAAAACGTGAGGAAAACAAATCATTTAATATCTGAGAGGATATGTAATTAAGAAGATAATCAGTTTAAAAAGGAACAGATAATTCCAAAATAACATGGGAGAAGAAGGCTGATTGGTAAAAAAAAACTACACAAAAATGCATGGTTCTGCCTCCTTGTGTCCTGCAGGTCCTACCTAGCCCTGGTGGTTTATAATTACGTACATAAAGTATGTTTGTTCAAGTATACAGTATGTTGTTTATTGTTTTTAATTTGAACCTTACTAAGTGTTCATAGAAAATTTAGTTTAAAATAAGCATGATTCAGATTTACAAAAATAAAGACAGCAAGAGCTCATGGGAAATGTAGTTAAAACATGCAAGTCAAAACTTTACCAAAATAACCGCAGCAATTGAAGTTTAAGTGTAATACTACTATTACTATTGCTATTTTGTACCTTATTTTTTTTCAGCTACCACTACCAGCTATATTAATATTATATATTTATATTCACTAATTAATACCATTAATAACATTCAGAAAAGGTATTATACGTCAGTTATTTTTGTTTTCCCCTTCTAGTATTTCCCTTTAGTTACATGATTCCATATTAAGTGGATTTAAAAAAGTAGGCTTCCAATACGTGAATGTTACAGTGCTATACTTCAAATTACCGTACATCCTTTAGTGGTATAGTTTCAATCCAGGCTCCATCCTTTGCATGTAAATCCCTTTTCAGAAAAAATGACAGCCAAAGCTATTTGTTATATAAATGTTATATGCATTTTATGTGTTATATAAAATATAAAATGTTATATTTTCATGATACACGATTATTAAACTTTGAAAAAAGATTAAATGAAGCTAACATTTCAATAACAACTAAACACTATAAGGGCCACCTGTCAGTCTTCTTTGGGCAGTGAAGAACCAAATTCAGTATGCCGGAAGAGAGTGCTGTATACTGCAGCTGGCATACTGCTAATGTGAATTTTGATGCACATTCTAGATGGCTACATCTGTATAATGTCTATATATTAATTCAAAAGCAATAATTATTTTTTCACTCTTTTTGAATAGAAGTTGTTTTTCAAGAAAACTACTGTTGTAATTTAGAAGCTGTCATGCCCGAATGTTGGTCATTGGTCCTGTATACATACGCATGACAGCACACTTCCAGGCACTCTTAGAACACCCTTGTGCAGACTTTCACAGCAGGTGACTAATTAATTTATTATTTAATTATTATTTCATTATTACTTCCAGTTTCCTTAAATACTTCCCTCGCCCTTCACTCAGAGTTCTGTCGTTAAGCTACTGTGCACTGGCTACCTCATAGTTTTTTTATGCCAGTTTTCTTTTTTCAATCTTTTTGCACTTGCTAACGTGTTTCAGCACTTTCTCTTTTCCTTGCCACTACCACTCTGCAGCCCTGTGTGTTAAGTTTATTTCTGTGTATTTTTTTCTTTTTGGCTCCACTTTTTTGTTGCAGTGTTTCACACCTTACCACTGCCTGAGACCTGTCTGTGAGCTCTCGGTCAGACGCGGCTGTTTTTCACCTCGCTGACATTATAACATTACAAATCATAGCAGTGAACAATATATTTTACAAATAAATGCCAATGCATTCCATTCACCTCTTCTGCTTTCCTTGTTTCATGAGAAAATACACCTATCAAGAAAAATACAATACCTAGTATTTTTAATCTCACAGTATAGGAATGTTCTTATTATTTTATTTAAAGAAACATCTGTTGTTAAGGCCCTGCACAATCTTTATGAATTACATAAAGCAACAAATATTTACACAGTGTAAGATGTATTTAGTTGCCAAGAAAAACAAGTGTAAATAACAACTTATTACATATTAACCAGATTGTGGTCAGCTTGTTTAACTTACATCTCAGCTCAATCCTTATGAAATCTTTGATTCCTAGGTTTTCGAGGAACACCCCATTTTCAGCTGTAGTTTTGAAGTAGAAAGAAATGTCTGCACTGAGATCTGCATGGAACGTGGGAAAATGAAGATAAGAAGACTCCTGATAAAAGGAGGCTGCATTCCAAACATTTCCTGGAAGAATGAAGGATAAAAAACACTTAGTTTTTACTGTAGGTCAATACTTATGAACCAATTTATTGTCACTGACAATGAACAAAACAAATACAATGAAGAAATTTCCTGTAAACTTGCAATAGAATTATATTTAACAATGCTATTAAATATAATATCTATATGTACATATTGTAAATATATAATATACATATACAAGATAAGGAACTAAGTATCTGTTTTAGAATATGAATAAAATGATATTATATTTATTAGAAATCTTTATATGTTCACAACAGTGATAGAGTGGAATGGCTGTAAAGCAAATGAAAGTTATATATATAGAAGATATTTAGTAGTTTATTTTTTTTTATCGTTAGCATTTAGAGAGGATTAATAAACTCTTGTCCAATACAGAGTTGTATGGGAGGCACAGCCTTTCAAGCAACATGTGCTAGGAAGTTACACCCTGGACACAATGCCTGTCCATCAGAGGGCACACAAACACACAATCTCACAAATGTGCCAGTTTTCCCAGAAACGAATTAACCTACCAGTATGTTTTAGACTGGAGCAGCTGGAAGAAACCCATGCAAACACAGGGAGAAGAAACTTCACACAGATAACACACAGATAACACCTCAGGACAGTTATTGAACCTAGGGCCCTAGCGCTGTAAGGCAGCAATGCATTATTTTTGAAGTATTATTGACAAGAATCAAAATAGCAGAAAGATCTTAAAATGTCAGGTTTAATAAGAGATTTTAAATTAGAACGTACAAAAAAACTGCAGAATGAATAAAGAAAATAACTAAAAAATAACTAAAATAAAATAACTATGTATAAATAAAGAAAATAACTATGTATTCATTATGAAAAAATGTTGAATAAATTGTTTGTTCATGCTTCTTTTGTGTCTATTAAAACAGCAATCCACTCACTATCACCATAGCAGCAGAGAGGTCCAACTCTGTAAGTTGCTTCTGAACCAGTTCTGCTCGTGTCGCCAATCACAATTTTATTCACAGGCAAGTGATCTTTATAGGAGAGGATGCCTGTGTCATTGGCCCTGCAAATAAATCAAAGATTTAGGTAATTTTCTCAAAACTGGAGGAGACAAGTTTAGACAGGTTTGGACAATACACTGTAGATGTTGACTTTTCTTTGGGTCTCATTTATGCTTTGACACATTTCATATTCTTCATGATTTCACTTTCTGACCCTGATTTAATAAAAAAGTGACAAAGACTTAGCAAAAAATAGTTGTATTTCTTATTTGACCCTGTCATTTACAGTACAACCCATCAGAAGTGCTGTATTCCAAATGACTATTCCTTAAAATACGTCAGCTACAACAGAAGTAAAATGCAATACGTATTTCTCAGATTTTGGCAGCAGTAATGCAAGTCATCGGGTTCTGAGCAATGGAGAAATTTATATAAATAACGTCAAGATAGTATAGCATCCAATGATGACGAAAGAAAGCAGAGCCTTCCAGGGCAGTACCAACATCTGTTTCTGCTGCTGTGACATACCAAGATTAAAGCCAACATCTAGCAAGACAACAAGGTGACAGAAGGAAATATTCATGTTATGAAAAGTGGTAAAGGAAAAGTCCCAAAACATGTCAAATGTTGCTCATAGTGCCACATGAACAAAGAATACATAATAAGCTGCAGACATGTTTCACGTGATAATGTCTATAAGGCATAGAATGCACTCTGTGAACAAACTGTAAGTGACACATTCAATGAATAGAAGTTAAATATTTGGTCCTTAATACTGTCCCAAGAAATATTCTCATCTGTAACCTTCAAAATGCCTCTCTCAAACATTACGTTTTGCTATAAGCATCTAACAGAAATGTATAGAAGCCAATCCGTTATGCCCTCCAAGCCAATTATTACACAACCTACAGTATACATTTAGAAAGTCCAAAATATCCTAATATGAGAGAGTTAAATGTTATAGACCTAGAAAATAAAGCAAGGAAGTACATTCAGCTTTATTATGAAGATAATCTAGAAGAGAATTATTAACTGTAAAAATGCATAAAGAGATAAGCATCTCTGGTACTGTAGGGGTTTTGTGATCTTACTGACACGATGGTTAGTTTTAACAGTAAACTGCATGAGTTTGTTTGATTATTAGGAATCAATTGGCAGAACAAGGAGTCTTGACAAGGATTCACAACAGACAGAATGCTTTTATTGATGCATAAATCAATGTGTACATAAAGGCATTCAGGATAAATACATGAGAGTCTGCGTGGATACAGACGGCAGCTCAATACATTAATTATCAAGCTATAGCGAGTATGAAGAACTGATACATAAAAACAAGGATAATACTAAAGGGACAAGGCCTATTGCTTCATGTAGAATTAGGTGTTGTTAAAGACTTCTGTGCTTTGACCAAGCAGCCTGGTACATCTATCTAAATGCATAGGAATGTGGCTAATAGGCCCTTCTGATAAGAGATACTGTAAAGAGATACAAGCTATAAATATAATGTTATATATCGCAAATGGACACCAGCCATGCTTCAGCCTGTTTCAGGTCAAAGATCACTATCCATCACACAAAAGAAAGATCCACCAATTGTGGATCTGTAGAGTGGGTACCAGAACCAAACCTGATAGCATTGTGGCCAATCACCAACTGGTGATGTTGCCCCATATAATCTAGAACACAAATAATTTTTCTCCAGTTAACTCACTGACTTGAAAATCTCTCTCTAAACTGGCCAAATGATGTTTATGACCACATGCCTGCAAACAGATCAAGTCAGGACTTAAACTTTTCTCCAAGAAGCCAGACCAAGAGAATGAATCAGTAAAGTGCATAATTCTGTCCAAGATATTCTTCCTGAAACAGAAGAAATCTTGTGTTCATGAACCCACTGTTATTTTCACCTGATCAAAGAAATTAGACAGTTGGACTAATTCTTTTTGTCAAGATCCAGAATATTCTGAACAAAAAGATGTAGCAAGGAACAAACTGAATGACCCTTTTGTCTACCTTGTGATCCTCAAGAAGACAAACCGTGTCCAGGCTGTTCTAAAGACCAAAGCCAACAGGATGCTCCTTTGGCAGAGATGCCTGAGGCCAATATAAGCTGCTAAGCAAAGCAAAACAAAAGCTCTTTCTCTCTCCTGCGTCAATATCATCCTAGCACATAGAAACTGCTACAGAAACCTAGCCAGCTTTTACCAATGCAAAGTTTAAACTCATCAAGGACATCTGGACAACAAATCTTTGAATATTAAATTTTATTTTTCATATCATTCTCGAGAGAACTATTACAAACGCATAGTTTAGATCATGATAGTAAATGGATATTTACTTATGTCAGAGAATTTTAATGTGCTTTAATTATATGAGACTAACAAAACTTAAAGTCTAGACTGTAATATGTATTAATCAATGCCTATTTTCACTTTGAAGTCATTAACTCCTATTTTAGTAATCCCTGAGTGAAAGATCAGCATTCATGTTCACAGGAGATCATTTCACAGATATATATTATATTATGTTGTTGCTTGTTATGCATGTTTTGGTTTTATCAACAAAATGCATGTTGTATATTTAGAATCAGTCTGTGTGATTGTAAATTATTTTATTTGGTTGGTTCCTAAAAGTTATCAACTTCTCATTGTTTCTTGGACTATGTTATCCAGCTCAACAGTGTATCCCGAAAGACATCCACAATCTCAATCTCAGTCTCGGTCTCATATCAATCTGATTCCAAATGAAACAGTGCCAGACCACTGAGGTGCACTATAGACCCCTCAGGAACTAAGAAAATCATTTTATCTGGTGGTTGTAATTTGGTAACTGTTTCATGCCTGTCGCACTGGGACACCACTAGTGAATATCCTGTCAAAGTTTAGAATGTCAAAGTTTAGAACCAAATGCAGACTTGGGTTGTTGTCTAGGTAAACTATTAGTGGAGGGGTGGTTAATGTGACATACGTGTCCACTCTCTCGAAGCCAACACTTAATATGGATTTAAGTCTGTAGACACCTTTGCTACTAATGATAGGGAGTTTTAAGAGAAAACCTATTTCCTTGGCTTTGGGGTTGATATATATGGGAATAGCACTTCCTATACTGTATGCAAAGTGGCCTGTAGTAGCTGAACAGACTCTAAAGTAACTGACCTCAATAGATTTTCCACTAAGGTGAGTCGGACCAAGCAGGTGGGAATCTGGTAATGGCAGCACTAAGATCCCTAAGCAGATCAAGAATCAACATCCTGACCTGTATTACATTAACATAATTCCACTTGATGACATCAACAATCCTGCCCACAGTGTGGAAAGTATGATTTAACAGTGTTGTATGGAGGTTAATGTTATCCATACGCTTTCCAGACGCTGCTGCTGGAATAACTTGTTACTAATTTTAAGCATCTCTTTCTGTAACCCTGATTCATATTTCTTCAATGTGATCGGTGTGACAGTGTTCACACCAAAGAGACCTGCTGAAAATAATGATCGTACAGCAGAAGCAGTAGCAATCAGTCCCCCCAGAAATCTTTTGGGGCGGCTGGCACCAGTCATCTCCAGAAGGAGATGGCGTAGTATGTGTAAAGTGTCTAGTTGGGCATGCCAGACAGCATCCTGTCTGGCATCTACCACATCTACTGCATCTACCAGAGGGAAGCCAGAGGGAAGAGAAGTAAACAGAGGTTGGACAGGAAAGGATAGGGGGTGCTCACCCTGAGGTCTGTGTGTGTCCTAATGCCTAGTATAGTATAATTCTAACTATAGGAATGTGAGTAAATGTGAGCCTCATGCTTTCTGGAGATCTAAACCCCAACAATAAAAACAAGAACAGAAAGAGTTAAATGGGACCATATCTGGTCATGGATTTCTAAGTAGATGCAACTTGCTCTTTAACTGAATTTGTCATTAACGACAAGAATATAGTTGGCAAGTTCTGAGACGGTACCAAGTAAGCTACAGTATAACATTTACAGACAAAACAAGTAAATCAAGCAACAGAAAGAACAAGACCCAACGCCTGACAGTGTGTGTGCTCAGCAAACAGAGGCAGACTGCTTGTTTTCTTTCAGAAGCAATTATGTATTATGAACTTGAAAACAAACATTCTTGACCTTTCTACAACTCATTCCTGTTGTACCAAAGCTTTAAACTATTTGGTCCAATAATATGAACTGGGAACTGCTCCATTCCATTTTGAAAACT